CATTTTCTTGAGGACTCTCAGCGAACTATAGAACAGGTAATCCTGCCTAATTAGAAGTCAATCGGAGGAAAAAAACAGATTGAAAACCACTTCCACTAGACAACTGAGCGCAATTGTGTATAAATTACCTCGTGTAATTATGCACAGTGCACCCTAACCGGGCCGCGTGGTAGAAACACTGAACCAACACGGAGGCCAGATAAGGGTACAGAAGGCGTTATTCGGGGTGTGCACCGATCGCAAATTCCAAAAATGAGGGGGGGGAGAGGCGGGGTTGCCCACGTAGGTGCAGGCGGCAGCCGCGTCAGCCACCTGCGCCCCGGGCGTTTTTGACTCTACCCTGACACCCGACACAAGTTAGTGAGGTGGATGCTGTGCAAGTCTACTATTACTTAGAATAATCCACGGACAAGTCGCCGTCCTACAAAAACATTCTGTGGAGCACACGATGGAGTTCGTCGGAATCGATGGTCGTAATATTCTGTACCAAATGGGGACACGCCCGGGCGCAGATTCAGCCTGTACTACCAACCTGCATCTAATCACAGCGTCAGGTGGCCGGCCGTCTCGCACAACGGAGTGGTGTTAGAGCGACGGAGAACAGAGTGAAGTTGATTCTAGGGACTTTGCGTCCGCAGCGCTCACGACCCACTTTGTTATGTTGCGGACTAATAGGCAGAAGAAGGCAACGAGTCGGTTCTGGTGGCAAGGGCTTTATTCAGGACGACAGAAAGACAGTGGATTTTTCAGCTTGCCCACTCCAGCGTATTTATAGGGTTTTGCTCCTTCTGGAACAATCCTGGTCTAAGGTGTGTGCGGCCGGTGGTCTGGCCTACACGCTGATCGATAGTTTGCCACGCTGTGTGAGAAGTCGTAACGTGTACACGCTGACCGATAGTTTCTCACGTGGTGTGAACGGTCGTTAACGCACGCTGTTAGTCTGCGCGCATGACTGAATTCGCATGCGCCTCTGTGCTTCTTACTGCAGACTGTTCAACGAGCTTTTAAACTACTAAATTGCGCTAAAATTCATGCCAAGACAGAGTCAAAGGCAGGCGGCATGGGGGGCAGGTGGTTGGCGGGATATTGGCGGGATTACCACTTAATTTTTAAAATCATTTAAAGGAAAGGCCGCGACCGTTTCCAAATGCTATCTGAAGACTTTTGGTGAATTATTCATCTTCCCCTAACAAAATTCTCACGTCTGCGGTAACTGAGCTTGGAGGCGTGTAGGCGTTTATAGGTGATTTTATCGCCCAACTTGCAGCTTAGGCTGCCACAGTCTTCAGGTTCGTGCCGACGCCATGTCATAAATAATAGCTGAGTCGTTTTGGCAGCTTTCTACTACCACGCGTGTCCTCGTCCAGGTTCTGGGTCACACCAGCAGGCTTCTAAGGCGCTGCCGGCTGACTCGCATGCTCTGCGTAGCAGTTCGAAGTCTGAACGCAGCGTATGCAGAGATTGTCGGTGTGCTATGAACATCCGAGCAACACTTGTTGAGCGCACAGATTGCTCAACCAATTTGCCGTAAGGACATGACCCCATTTCTGACCAATGGAGCTTGCGAGAAGCGAAAAGTGACAAAATTGCTTCTGA